CAGGAAATGCAATCCCAGGATGAGGTGCAACTGACTTAAAGAACAGCAAAAAGGTGTTACATTTACACCCCTGTAAATTCAGATATTAGACAAGGACAACCCAGCTTCAAATCACTCTTCACCCATGGAAGCTCATTCGCTGACTTTGGGCCCTTCACTCTCTTTCAGCCCAATCTGCCTCTCAGGATTGTGACGATGAGGAAAAATGGGAGGGAGAGTCTTGTACACACCGCCTGCAGGAAAGGTGAGCTGTAATTCTAACAAGCAAATAATGGCCCCCAAATTTTATTTATTTATTTAAGAAATGTATATGGCTTCCCAACTTGAATAATTGTGGCTCTGGGTGATGTACGATCCACCAGCAACATGTCAATACACCAGGAACCCAAATTTATATTACATCCTTTCATGCAAGTACTCCAATCAATCTGGCTGGGATAGGGATGGGGCCAACCATATATATAACCACACATGGATGTGGGGAAGGTCATTCCAACGGGCAGGCACTGCAAAGGAAAAGGCACATTCAAAAGAAAAGTGGAATTATTAGAGTTAAAGTATGTATATACTGATTGTATTATCTTTGTTTAGTTAAATTGTAATTTAGATATGGAATGGGATGAGTGTTAGTCCTGTATCAGGTTCCGGGAAGCTCAGGGGGAGTAGGGGAATTTATTAGGGGATGTATTTACATTTTATAGATAAATACTTATTGTATTGATAAGAGGAGATGCACGGCTGGTATCCCAAATTGCACTCGAGGAGGTCGTAAGAAAGGAGAGGGGATGTAGGTAGGTGGTAGGGAGGAAGGTGGAGAGGTCGGGGGTTAGAGGGAGGAAGGAAAAGAAAGTGGATGAGGGTGGAGGCATGGCGGGGACTGCCGAGCGTCTCTGAAAATGTATTGATTTGGATTATTTTTTCTTTTTTGTTTATGTACGTAAATGCATCATAATTCTTGTTGTTTAATTATAAAAATCAATAAAAATTTTATTAAAAAAAAAAGAAAAGAAAAGTGGAGAGGAGGCAAAGCCAACTGGTCCTGCTTCCTGCCACTTAGGTGTATAGTTAGTGGAGAAAATGTGGGGCGGCATAAGACAAAGAGAAATATGGAGAAATATAGATGGGACACCCCATCTATTTCTTGCTTAGACTCCTTTCCCTGTTTGTTTCAGATTTGTCCCCTAGTTGGCAGACAACTCCCAAGAAGGAATATTGCTCCCAATACATGAAGGAAGCTGAGGCCAACATTTCTGATTTCCAATTCTCCTCAGAAATTCTGTCTGTGTTTTGCTAAGATCATCTGCAATGCGTTCCTTTGTTTTTAAAAAGAGTTCCGTTTGCATTGAACCACTGAGCGGCTTCAAGGGGACACGGGTGGTGCTTAGATTCCCTGGTGTTCAAGCATGTCCTAAGAGGAGAGCACGGGGAAAAGATCAAAAATGAAATCCGAAGGGAAGCATTCCTTCTGGCTTTGTTTGTAAAGATATCTATTACCGTAAACATTGACATAACCCCTTCCATTGTGTCAGATCCATGGAAAAAGCTGGCCCGCAAGAAGCAAACATCTGGTTAACATAAAAAGGAATGAATCCTATTGGGACAACTCCCTGATTTATTTCTACAGGACAAGACAGAAGAGATTCAGAGGATAGGTGAGTAGATTGGGGGGGGGAGGTGCCCTCATTTAGAGATTATTCTATGGCGCTAGTGGTGTTACAGACCATATATTAGCTTTATGCCGTTTTGACTCTCCCCACAAAGCATCCTGGAAAATGTAACTTGGAAAAAAATTATGGCAATTCTTTTATTTGAAGGACTGCGGCACTGCCTCCCTTCAGAATTAAGAGTTCCTTCAATTGATTTGAGGAGAAGGAATAACTACATATCGGTTACATCTGGAGAATAAAGAAACTATCAGACGCAGCCAGGCGCAGGGGTCAAACTATTTTCCAAAGCACCAAAAGGCAAGTCGAGAAACAACAGATGGAAACCTAACCAAAGAGAGAAGCAACCTAGAACTGAGGAGAAATTTCCTAACGGTAAGAGCAATCAACCAATGAAACAAGTTGCCTTCAGAAATTGTGGGTGCTCCATCACCAGTGGTGGGATTCAACTGGTTCGCACCACTTCGGCAGAACCGGTAGCTAATTTTTTTGTTGCCCAGGCCCAGAATGGACTTCCGGAAGTGGCATCCACACAGAGAACCAGTTGTTCACATATTTGAATCCCACCACTATCCATCACTGGAGGCTTTGAAAAAGAGACTGGACAATTGTTTATCTGAAATGGTACAGGGCCCCCTGCTCGAGCAGGGAGTTGGACTAGAAGACCTCCAAGGTCCCTTCCAACTCTATTATTCTATGTTCTAATACAAGGGTACAAGTTCACACAAATATTAAAGTAAACTTAGGTTTTGAAGTTATACCAGGAAGAATTTTTCAAATGAGAGCAGTTCTTGGATTATATAGCCATTCCTCCCTGACTTCCATACCGTACAAATTCCCGTTAAAGGCAGGGATTTAAGGAGAGCCGATCAGAGCGGACAGTGGAGCCAAAAGACTGGAAACGAGGCTAGAGGTTTGATAGCCAAATATGAGTTTTCTTTCAGAATTTCTCTCAAGGGAGCTCTTTATTGCTATGAAAAGGCAGACTGTTCAAAAGGGCTGCTAACATGAAGAGATCTGGAGGTTTAGATGTTTTGTTTTTCTACTCAAGAAATTGTAGAATTTGAAGTATTGCGCGTTTTAAATAAACAAATGAGAGCAACTCTAAATGCACTGAGAAGTAAATATGTCTGTATCCAGTGGGGCTTATTCTTTAATGCAGGGTTCTTCAAACTTGGCCCTTTTATGACCTGTGGACTTCAACTCCCAGAATTCCTGAGCCAACCGTGCTGGCTCAGGAATTCTGGGAGTTGAAGTCCACAGGTCATAAAAGGGCCAAGTTTGAAGACTCCTGCTTTAATGCTTAGGACTCATTGAAAAACCTGTGACTGAAGCTTACATTGTTATGAATGCTACGGAGAGAACAGACCGTTTTATTTATGTTCTACCCCAGAAAAACATGAAATGAACCTAACAAAGGCTACAGTAGGTAGTTTGTTTTGAACAACTAGGAGTCAATGGGAACTTCTTTTGACTAGAGCCATCTGCCTCTGAATACACAATCCAGCCACTCTGCTTATGAGATCTTCAAGGAAGAGAATGCTGGACTGGGTCTAATTCAGCAGAATAGTACTGACATTCAGCAAAGAGGGAGGACAAGCTATTTGAAATAAGGGACCAGTATAAGGCAACTCAAAAGAGTATATAGAAAATATGCAAGCCTTGCATATGTTTGCCTTATTGCAAAGGTTAAACTTTTAATCAATGGAAAGAAGTAAAAATGCCTCTTCCCCCTCAGCTTTTAGATGGGAGATGGGAAGGATCTTCTTGTTGTAAGATTGATCATCTGTTCACTTAGGCAGCAATATATCACTCAAAGCTATAAAAAACTTTATTAATGTTTATTCTTACCTGGATATTTTAATGCTTTCCTTCCTTCCTTCCCTTTCTTTATTCCTTCCTTCCTTCCCTGTCTTCCTTCCCTGTCTTCCTTCCTTCCTTCCTTCCTTCCTTCCTTCCTTCCTTCCTTCCTTCCTTCCCTGTCTTCCTTCCCTGTCTTCCTTCCTTCCTAAGCTTTCACCAACCGTGGCTAAAAATTGTGGAAGTTGAAATCCAACACATCTTGATGAAGTCAGGGAAAATTAACAAATGTTTTCTAGCACAGTCTGTAGATCAATAAAAAAAAGTTTACTCTTTAGTTTCAGGTTTGCACCATAAACATGTACACAACGCCATGGTGATTATTTTGAAGTAAATTTTCATGTGACAGAGATAGAGGGTGACAAAACGTACTTCGGAAAAAAACTCACTGAATTCAGAAATATTTGCTCTCAAACAAGCATGTACTGGGTTTGATTTCACAAAGAGCCATTTCTCAAATGCATGATACTCTACCTGAGCATCTCTTATTTGCTCCAGTTGCTTCCGAGAAGGAAAGTCTGGCATTCTCATTTTCTTCCATTGCAAATATGGATTGGTTAGGTTGTTATCCATGTAGTATGTTACGTATACCAGTTCTTTGGGAAGAGAAAGAAAATGTAATAGTTTAAAGTTTGGCTTAAGCTGAACATCAAATCAGACATGGTAGCTTAGAAATACTGTGTTCTGGTTCACAGTCTGTTATTCAAGCGATAAGTTTTGGGCCTCAACTCTTAGACCAGCGGTTCTCAACCTATGGGTCGCGACCCCATTTGGGGATCGACCATTTCACGGGGGTCACCAAGCAAGGCTGTCCGCCATTTTTTTGTCCGCCATTTTTTTCCCCTTTTCCGGCGGGTGCCTTACCTCCCTTGAGCTGGGCCAGCTGGTGGTCGGCCTGCTCCGTCTCTGCCGCTTGCCAGCTACGCCTCAACCGGCGCAGGGGGCGGAACCACGCATGCGTGGCGCTCCCGGGCAGGGAAAGTCCTCGACTTACGACCAGTTTAGTCCTCGACTTACGACCGGTTTAGTCCTCAACTTACGACCGGTTTAGTCCTCGACTTACGACCGGTTGGGGGTCGCGGCATTAAAAAGATTGAGAACCACTGTCTTAGACAAAGTAGCTTTAGAAAGAAACAGAGAAATAGGTCATCGGGAACCTGAAAAACCCAAGCTGACGCTGTTGCATCCCGTCAGCAATTGAAAAGGTTTTGCATCCTGAAATATGAAAGGGAATAGGGGGGGGGGAATCCAGCTGAGCTTGACTAAGATACAATCCTCAGAAGACTGTTCTGATGGAAGACAATGTAACAGCCAAAGCTCAAAGTAGATACTTCAATCCCTGACAATCTATGACTCCAATAGCTGCTCACCATTTCTCACTCTCCTGCAAGTGCCCAGTTAAAAAGATGTGGGCTTACTTCAAATGTCACTTGATGAGTGAGGGACAACAATCAAGAAACTCAAACTCGGGCTTTTTGTTGAAGTGAAACCTGGGAAGTAGTTTCACTGTTTTCTGACTCTTTCTGAACACTGCTTGGGAACAACTCTTTCTATGGGAATGAAAGCAACTCTTTGCTCACGAGAAGGATCCAAAGGGTGACAAGCTTTTCACCAAGTGGATTTTTCTCACAGTTAGAAATTTAAGGGATTAAACCGCACCATGAAGTTGTCTCAGTCTGTCTCAGCACCAGAACCAAAACCAAAACCCCCAAACAGTGAACATACAATTTGTTTCACAAAACACAATTCTGCATTCTTAACATATCCTGATTAGATTCTGTGAATTGTCTATTCAAGTTAAGCCATCGGGGATCATCTGCTGACCAAGCGCCTTCTGAGTTCAAATCCCCAAACCTCTTCCCCTATTCCGTAAAGAATGACCCTCCTGTGCCACTATTCAAACTAAATCCTAATTTGGTGATCACTTTAGAATGAGGCAGTGTGTGTGTCATGCTGTAGTTATTAGGAACTGTCCATTGCCCTGTGAGAAAAGACCTCTCTTGAATTTGTCTAGCAATGCATGGAGCCTACTTCCCCCAACTTGAATGTAAATCTCATTTCTGGAGGGTATCAGGTTAATAGCCCTTCAAAAAGTCATAGCAAAATTTTACCTCTGTCTTTAGGATAGTTGGCTATGTTTAGAATCACAGTACTGATGTTTGAGGATGTCTTGTTATCATTGCTTGAATAGATCAGTATTGATGCTTGCCAGCTGTCCGACAATTGTAGTCCTGAAGGTTTGTGCAAGCTGGCTAATATTCCCAAGGCATTACAGTCTTCTGATTTGTGACTAGAAATGTTGGCAGAAACTTGCTCTTCTCCTGCACAAGAGGGAGAAAACCGTGAACCCAAAAAAGGGAAACTTACAGAGGAGCATTTAAAGCATATTGTCCTAGTTCCAGAAGTCAGCCTCATGAAGTGTAATTCTGTGACAGAACATTTCATCAAAAGATTTGATGTGGGCATAAGAACAGCTGAAGTTTGAAATAACAGATAAACCTTTAGTTGAAGATACCTAAGTGACTGTTATTGTTTCTTCTGTTTGTTAAATCTCTCTTTCTAAGATTGGGCCATATTTTTTATTTTTTTTTAAATCCCCTTTATTATTTTTATAAATAACTCAAGGTGGCAAACATATGCACTACTCCTTCCTCCTCCTATTTTCCCCACAACAACCCTGTGGCGTGAGTTGGATTGAGAAAGAATGACTGGCATAAGTTCACTCAGCTGGCTTTTGTGCCAAAGGCAGGACTAGAACTCGCAGTCTCCTGGTTTCTAGCCTGGTGCTTTAACCATTAATTACTTGCTGTTGGAAGGCAAATTCCTATTACTTACATTGTCCCTCCTCCCAGTATGTGGTGACACATATGAAGTTTTAACTTATTGACTGATAACTGACTGGCTTATTTCCCAGTTCAACTGAATTAACATCAGCTGGTCAACATAATATATTTCTTCCTTCTTTATTAAATACTCAATATTTCATTTCCTGGAATACTTAAGGGTGTGTAGGAAATGACCAAGCTGAGCCTGAGGGAGGGGGTCAAACGCATCATCAGTCTCGAATCCCTTCATGCCCACAAGAGATTTAAGTCCAACCCACCTTGAATTCCATTGACCCTTATCTGCCGCCAATTTGCTTTGACCATTGAACTACTAACCTTGAGCTGCCTGGACTCTTGATTTGACAGTGTATTTAGCAATTGTGAAAATGAATGAGGGGGGAAGGGGTGTTGTACCTAGCAAAGCCAGCAAGCCCATTACTGTCAGCACCGGCTTCCTCACCATCTGGATGTGGGGGGGCTTTGTGTTATTCATCTGAAAGCGTGCCGTAAGTGTCCTCTGGGTGAAGTAATAAGGATGGTAACTCAGAAATGCATTGTCATTGCTTAACAAAGTGTAGTTGATGGTATTGTTGGCTTTAGCGATGAGAAGATTTTGATGCTGAGCAATTACCTGTAAAGGAACACCATTTGAAAATATGTGAGTTATTATGTTAGTTCAGTAAAACAGGTATTCTTCTTCTATTTTACCTTATACTCTTTTATCTTTATTTTATCTTACCTACTATATTTTATTCTATTGTATCTCACCATAGCTATTTGATCTCATTTTACTGTATTTTACTGTGGCTGATGCTCACATTTGATATGGTCAATTGACTAATCAATACAGTATATTGTAACAAGTAATAGATGTAATTTTCACAGGAGGCTTTTCAAGATTTTTGACAGCAAATCCACTGCAGGACGAGGTCACCAATCCTATCTAACCTGCTGCCCTTCAAATGTATTTGGATAACAATTTTCATCATCCACAACCAGGTTAGGAACGTTTGAAGGCACTAGGTTGGGAAAGGGTGATTTGCATCTCCCATATGAAATTATATAGTATATAAATCATGGCTATGAGTATTCTGTATTCAATAAAAATTTGCAACAAAGCAGCTCAGATTATGAAATGCATATATAGTAAAGATTTGCAATATTTCCTCAAAATCTGCATGCTTTATTTTGTATGAATACTATTTAGTGTATACTTAGCAGAATTCAGCCTCCTTTGGGTTGCAATATGGAGAAATACGGCACTGTGCAATGCACTGAAACTCCAAAGTTATTTATTAGAATAAGATACAGTTTATAAATTGATTAAATAAGTAAATGATTTGTTTCTTTTGGCTACTAGGAATTCGACAGGTATTCGGCATATGTTTTCAAGTATAATGCTGCAACAAGGGAAAAAAAAACAGAAGTTGTTTCAGACAGTTAAAAGAAAAGTTGAAGTTTTCAGCTGTGTGCTGAGTCAAAAATCCTCTTTGATACTTTTGCAGTCTTCCTTAAAAATCATATACATATACATAGCTGAATACAAATATTTCATATTGGGATTACTGTACAGCTTTCATTTTTTTCCTGCCTCAGTTCTAATTCCAAACAGATGACTGCGCTGTAATTTATCTCTGCCTATAGAATCACTGTGACAACTTGAAAACAAGAAAAGTACTGTAACATGTTAGCATCAGGGTCTACTAAGTTAAGCCTTTCCAATAGCTTAAATTGACCTAATTCCCTAGCCAGCTAAAATTAGGAATTTAAGAGGAGGATTGCGACAGCATAACTAATCAGATGTAGAAGGATTAATGTTCCACACCAAAATACGCACAAAAAAGCAGATTAGCTCTTAAGAACACTGAGTTGTGCAGAAAGGAGTTGTATAAAACTGCATTTAAAATCACAAAAGGTGTTCATGTTAAACTGAATGAGGCCAGAGAAAGACAATTCACACTAGCTCTATTAATTTATGAAAGGTGTGTGTGTGTGTATGAAATAAACAAACATTCTTTGGTGAAAAACCAAAGAGTAGGCAACTCATAGCAATAGAATAGAATAGAATAGAATAGAATAGAATAGAATAGAATAGAATAGGAATATAGAACAGGACAGAACAGAACAAGAACAGAACGGAATAGAACAGAATATTCTTTATTGACCAAGCGTGATTGGACACACAAGGAATTTGTCTCCGATGCATAACCTCACAGTATACATATAAATAGCAAGTGATAGGTCATAGATCATAAAACATAGTTACAATCATTAATCATAAGTTACAAACAACAATAGGAAAAGATAGTAGGAAAGACAAAAAGACAAGAGAAGATGAGAAACAAGACAGTGCTGTGGGAATTAAGTGTTCAGCAGAGTGATGGCACAGGGGAAAAAACTATCTTTGTTTCTAATTCATACTGCATGGCATTCCACTAAAGCTCAGTGAATACAAATTCTGGACTGTCTGTCAGCTAACACCATTCAGAAGCTGACGTCAATTGCTTGAAATCCATGCTGAAAAGTGAATTTTGAAAAAGATGCAAATTATATTTGACTCTTTCTCCTTCTTTCTGTCATTCCTTGATCTTTTGAAGAACAGGTGTCAAACTCGCCGCGTCACGTGACAGTTTGCGTCATATCGCAACTTTTCTTGCATTGCCGGAGCTGGGGCGGGCGGGGCCTCCGCATGATGCAACCGGCCCGTGGGCCGGCAGTTTGACACCTCTGTTTTAAAGCGTGAGGATAAATTGATCAAATACAAATACAAATATTTGTCTAAAATGGCATAGGGTTTCCTGCCTGAGCAGGGGGTTGGACTAGATGACCTCCAAGGTCCCTTCCAACATCATCATCATCATCATCATCATCATCATCATCATCATCATCATTATTATTATTATTATTATTATTATTATTATTATTATTATTATTATTATTAGTGAGAAAGTAGAGGATTTTATAGAATTGGTGACTTAATGTTGAAAGAAACCCTGTTATTGCTAAATATATATTGAAAAAGGATTGGTTACAACCTGGTTTCCAAGTCAAAAATATTTTCATAACCTTTCTCCATCTAATACATTCAGACTAGCAATAAAATCTGAATAATGGCATGTATCTATTTCACTTTAGGGGAAGTACATCTCAGCAGTACTTGTACTGTGTAAACCTCTTATGTCAGTAATGACAGGTTTGTTTGAAAATCTTACTGCTTAGCTCTCCTGCCCACTGCGAAACCATGACTAAAAAGTATGGAGTGACTGTTGGCGGTCAAAATCAGCAGCAATGCCAGGCACATCTCCTGTTAATGACATGGATGCCAACTGGCTCCAAGAACTAGCTGATCTGCACTAAAATCTACTTCTGTCCTAACGGTACACAGAGCAGCAGGGAATATAAGCAGGGTGCAGAATAATTCCGATACCCTAAACATTCATTTAATTATTTAAGGAAGGCAGATATTGCTTTTCATTATGTAACAATGATACAGACAATAAACCTACAGGAATTTTCTTTTTTGAAAACCCAAATCTCTTCTCTCCACAGGGAAACATATTGAAAATATCTCTAGGGCAGTGGTTCTCAACCTTTTTAATGCCGCGACCCCAACTGGTCGTAAGTTGAGGATTAAACCGGTTGTAAGTCGAGGACTACCCAACCGGTCGTAAGTCAAGGACTTTCCCTGCCCGGCAGCACTGCGCATGCGTGGTTCCGCCCCCTGCGCCGGCCAAGGCGTAGCTGGCAAGCGGCAGAGACGGAGCAGGCCGACTACCAGCTGGCCCAGCCCAAGGGAAGTAAGGCACCCGCTGGAAAAGGGGAAAAATGGTGGACAAAAAAAATGGTGGACAGCCTTGCTTGGCGACCCCCGTGAAATGGTTGATCGACCCCAAATGGGGTCCCGACCCACAGGTTGAGAACCACTGCTCTAGGGCATTGTTTCTCAACCTTGGCTACTTTTAAGACCTATGGACTTCAACTTCCAGCATCTGCTTGCTGAGGAATTCTGGGAGTTGAAGTCCACACATCTTAAGGATTCTGGGAGTTGATGTCCACACGTCTTAAAGTAGCCAAGGTTGAGAAATACTGCTCTATGGTATTGCTTAAGGCAAGGGTAGGCAACCTTGGCTCTTTTATGACTCGTGGACTTCAACTCCCAGAATTCCTGAACCAGCTATGCTGAGGGAAAAGGGAGAGGTTTCCAAGCTGAGCATGCTGGCTCAGGAATTCTGGGAATTGAAGTCCACGAGTTATAAAAGAGCCAAGGTTGCCTACCCTTGCCTTAAGGCAGCGGTTCTCAACCTATGGGTCGCGACCCCATTTGGGGTCGATCGACCATTTCACGGGGGTCGCCAAGCAAGGCTGTCCGCCATTTTTTTGTCCGCCATTTTTTTCCCCTTTTCCAGCGGGTGCCTTACCTCCCTTGGGCTGGGCCAGCTGGTGGTCGGCCTGCTCCGTCTCTGCCGCTTGCCAGCTACGCCTCGGCCGGTGCAGGGGGCGGAACCACACATGCGTGGCGCTCCCGGGCAGGGAAAGTCCTCGACTTATGACCGGCTGGGTAGTCCTCGACTTACGACCGGTTTAGTCCCCGACTTACGGCCGGTTGGGGTCGCGGCATTAAAAAGGTTGAGAACCACTGCCTTAAGGGAACAGCCGATGGTCTTCTGGACCAGCAAGAAGTTAATAGAGACTTTTTAAGGTGATCTTTCAATAGCTAATGTAGGAGAAACTTGTCAACCAGACACTCATTCTCCAACTGCAAAAGTTAGCCTTCAGATAATAAAACTCACAAATAGGGGCAGAGACACTTCATCAAATAAGCATTTTATTTTATGCTTAATTCTCAGTAGTTCAAAAGATCTACCACTGTAAAAAACGGGGGGGGGGGGGGAATAGGATTTCTCTCTCCCCCCCTTTAAAAGGATGACCTTTGTTTTTTAGTCCTAGTTCTTGCTGGACACTGTCCCCCAGCTTCTACTTCTTACCCAAACACAGGTAGTCCTTGACTTACAACCATTGGTTTAGTGATCATTCAAAATTACAATGGCACCAAAAATATGACTTATGACCGTTTTTTACACTTAATGACCACTGCAGTTTCCCCATAGGCACATGATCAAACTTGGGACGCTTGGCAACTGGCATGTATTTATAACAGTTGCAGTGTGCTGGGTGTGGGTGTGTCATGTGATCACCTTTTGCAACCTTCTGACAAGCAAAGCCAATGGGGGAAGCCAGATTCACTTAACAACTGCATTACTAAATTAACAACTGCAGTGATTCATTTAACAACTGGGACAAGAAAGGTTGTAAAATGAGGCAAAACATACATAACAACTTAGCAACACAAATTTTGGGCTCAATTATAGTCAGAAGTCGAGAACTACTGTACACAAAATAAAAAAGATTTGAGGTATATAACCGATGTGTGTGAAGGGGAAGACCCTCTTCTATCTTTCCTTTTTTTACTAAGAGTTTTTCTCAATATGCTGCTTGATATTCATGTAATAGTGAGCTACATAGTATATAAGTCACTTGATTTATCTTCACAGATTCATCTGAGACATCAGCTGTCTGCTTTGAGGTCATCGACTATATTAAACAGAAAACAATGGTCCACATGCTGATGGGTTGATTCCCATCCCATATTTGCACATGAATGCCTAGTTAATTGTTGAAAAACCTTATTTAAGATAGTGTACATTTATGATTTTATATATTTTGGGATACTGTTCGATTGTTCTTATGTTTTTTATGATATGACTGAAATTGCAAATTGCTTTGAGTCTTGTATGGAAAGTATATGCAAATGACCAAAGCAAATGAAATAAATTCCCTAATTCCATCCAGGAGGTCATCCAGGTTTCCTCTCGTCTTGCCTCTAAATCTACAGTGATAATTGTTGACCAAGCTATAAGCTATGATGGATGGATTCGTCTTTAGTAACCTAAAATCAAGCAGTATTCACGGATTGAAAATTGTAGGATTAAATGGCAAAAGGGAATGTAGCACTATGGCTAAGCCAAGATGATAGGCTGGACGTAACACCCGCTTTACCCCAAAGTGTATTTTAAATTGTAAAAGAGTAGGCAGACACTACTTTTACAGCGTGTTTATGATTACAAAAACTGCAAGGTGCAGATGCAGTTTTCCTCCATTAGGTGACGCACAAGTCCTGACTGTGAAATATTGCAAAGTCTATAAAACAACAGACAAAGCTAAAAGGTTCATCAGGCCAGTTCCAGTTTAGCAGCTGCCCAGCTTCAGCCCAGTTCTTTAGGCAGAAGCAGAGGAAATCAATTTTGGTAATGTCTGTGTATTTCTTGGTATTTCTGAATAATTCATGGATGCAAAGGGAACATAGCGGATCATAACATTCATGGACATTTGCAGGGAAAGGCCTTCCATTCGGGCCTAAACAGGAATTCTTTAAATTGAAAACAGGGGAAAAACAATTACAGGGAGTCCTCAACTTGCAACAGTTCATTTAGTGACCGTTCGAAGTTACAACGGCACTGAAAGAAGTGACTCGTGACTGTTTTTCACACTTACGACTGTTGCGGCATCCCCATGGTCATGTGATCAAAATTCAGACGCTTGACAGCTGACTCAGATTTATGACGGTTGGTCTGTCCCCGGGGTCACGCGATCACCTTTTGCGGCCTTCTGACAAGCAAAGTCAACGGGGAAGCCCGATTTACTTAACAACCGTGCTACTAACTTAACAACTGCAGTGATTCATTTAACTGTGGCAAGCAAGATCGCAAAACGGGGGCAAAACTCACTTAACAAATGTCTCACTCAACAACAGAAATGTTGGGCTCAATTGTGGCCGTAAGTCGAGGACCACCTGTATTTACTTCCAGTTCTTCTGAGCTGAAGTGCTTAGTCACAGTGTGGTCTTGAAACCCAGGAGTAACAGGAATGCATTATGTGGGCTCCTGCAACATAACAAATACGTTATGTTGGCAAGCAGTATTAGTCGACTGGGAAGCAATGCTGGTCAAGTCTAAGAAGGACTTGGTTTATGATTTGAGATTATAAGGGTATTTAACAACTTCCAAATGCTCCAAGGACTTCAAACTAGAGAAGGTCCCTTTCTGGTCTAGATTGAAATCTAAATGCCTAGCCCTGACAGCCTGAATGTTTGTCACAGCACGCAGAGCGCATTGAGCAAGACAGTCTAGACGAGCTTCTGTTTACTTTGTGATTCCCCATTATCCAATAAAAATCCCAAACAAAAACTTCCACTTTTGCCAGCATCAACCTTACCTTTACCACCATAGCTGCATAGGTCACATCAGCTCTCCACTGCTGTGGGATCGACCATCCTACTAGAGGATCAGCCTCATCATTGTATATGGGGACCGAGGTAAAATTGGGGAACATCTTCTGGATCTGTCCCATGGCCTCAGTTTCCTGTTCCAAGATATGAAGAGCACTCCCAGCTCCCTGGTGATTAAAAGCATTGTGATGACTGTTATTATCTAGTAAGCGTACACCTGCTCTCCTACTCTTATACTATTTTGTCAAAACAAGGCCAGGGAATCTCTTTTTGTATGGGGTCCAACATCGATCACTAAATTAAGATTTTTTTAAATATGCCATTTAAAGAGGAATACTATTAAATAATGATAGGAGAGTAACAAATCCAACTACGTTTCTACAGATATAAATAATATTAAGCTTATAATATTAATTAATATTAGGCTCCAAGAGCCAGTTTGGTCTCTGACAGCTAGTTCGGTCTAATGGTTAAGGCACCAGACTAGAAAACCAGAAACTGTGAGTTCATGTCTTACCTTAGCCATGAAAGCTAGCTAGGTGACTTTAGGCCAGTCACTCTTTCTCAGCTCAACCTACCTCACAGACTTATTGTTGTTGTGGAGAAAATAGGAGGAGAAAAGCGCATTAGGCATATTTGCTGCCTTATTTGTAAAAAATGTATAAAGCTGGGATATTAAATAAATAAATGGCTTCTATTTTATTCTTACTCTACCTGTGATTCTGTGGCTCGCTAAGCCCTTGTTCGTACTAAGCTGTCCATCCTGATCAATAAGCTCTACTGGGAGTATTTCTACTTGAAGTTTTATTTTATTTATTTATACAGCGTATGCAATAGTGACAAATATTTGTAGCTCGGGTGTAGGATGAGGGTGAAGGTTTGTTCTCTGAGCTTGTGGGTTGGTTTCTGAATGTTTCGTTACCAGGCTAGGTAATAATAATAATAATAATAATAATAATAATAATAATAATAATAATAATAATAATAATAATAATAATAATAATAATAATAATAATAATAATAATAATAATAATAATAATAATAATAATAATAAAAAAAAAGTTGGACCTTGGAAGTCATCTAGTCCAACCCCCTGCTCAGGCAGGAAACCCTATACCATTTCAGACAAATGGCTGTCCAGTCTCTTCTTAAAAACTTCCAGTGTTGGAGCATTCACCACTTCTGGAGGCAGATTGTTCCACTGGTTAATTATTCTAACTGTCAGGAAGTTTCTCCTTAGTTCTAGGTTGCTTCTTTCCTTTATTAGTTTCCATCCGTTGCTTCTTGTCCTGCCTTCAGGCGCCTTGGAAAATAGCTTGACTCCCTCTTCTTTGTGGCAGCCCCTGAGATATTGGAATACTGCTATCATGTCCCCCCTCATCCTTCTCTTCATTAAACTAGACATACCCAATTCCAGCAACCATTCCTTATGTTTTAGCCTCCAGTCCCCTGATCATCTTTGTTGCTCTTCTCTGTACTCTTTCTAGAATTTCAACATCTTCAGCAGAGTTTAGGGGATGTCAGTGTTTGTGTTCTTCTGTTTATAAGGGCTTCAGGTGTGGGTGTGTCAAGTGAGGGTCTTGTGATGAGTTAGGTGTGGGTCATGAGTGAGAGGCTTGTGATGGGTGTTTGATGGGGAGGTTACATCAGATCAGGGTCATTGGGAGCTGAACTGCTGGTGGGAGGGGGTGCTTGCATGGGTTGGTTGAGGGTCGGTGCTGTCTCTGATTGGCTGTGCGGTTGATTTGGATTCTGAGGGGATCGTAGGCTAGTTGTAGGTCATTGTGTCTGTTGATGGAATTGCTTGTGGAGTGCCAGATTTCACGAGTGTGGCGGGTGGCAGCACGGCCGATGATTTTTGTGTCGCTCCAATTGAACTGGTGCTGTTTGCTGCCAGTGTGGGTAGAGATTAAGGATTTGGGACTGTGGCGTTTGACTGCTAGCCGGCATTTGTGGATTCTGGTTTTTTAATTGACGTGATGTTTGTCCCAGGTAGAATTGGTTGCAATGGTTACAGTTGATTTTGTAGATTAGATTGACTCACTGATGACTCACACCTGACCCATCACAAGACCCACCACAGACCCTGACTTGACACACCCACACCTGAAGCCCTTATAAACAAAACACTGACCCTGACATCCCCTAAACTCTGCTGAAGATGTTACCTAGGCTGGTAACGAAACGTTCAGAAATCAACCCACAAGCTCGGAGAACGAACCTTCACCCTCACGTTGTATAGTTCAGGGGTCTGCAACCTTGACAACTTTAAGACTTGTGGACTTCAGCTCCCAGAATTCCTCAGCCAGGAATTCTGGGAGCTGAAGTCCACAAGTCTTAAAGTTGTCAAGGTTGCAGACCCCTGGTATAGTTCATCCAACTCTCAATAACTCTGGGCAGCTTAAAATTCAAAATATAAAATACAAAAACATATTCCTCCCTCCTCCAAAGAAATAGCCTCAAAAGCAACATATAACCAAGAAAAACTCACCCAACAGGGACACAGCCTCAACTTTGCCCAAAATTTGGGAGAAAAGCCAGGACTTTAATAGCTTCCTGAAGGATGGAAGCCATCCAGTTCTCTGGAAGGTTATCATTTCCCCCAAGTCCCACTTGGTGACACTGCTTAATCAATGAGACCGGGAGAAAATCCATTCTGCCCCATCACACCATATTGGCAGAAACAATTGGAGACAGGTGATCCCTCAAATAAAGGGAATAACCAAGCACCTTAAATTGCACCGGGAAGTTCATTGTTAACCTGAGCAGCTCTTGAAGCAATGGGGGGGGGGGCGGCATACAGGCTTAATGAGGCATGCCCAACGTGGCCACCACTGCTGCATTCTGGACTACCTGTAGCTTCCAGGTTTAGTAGAAGAAACTAAAGCTTCAGAGATAAATAAGCCAACAAGGTAATATACATAATGGCACTTTGAACATGCCATATAATTCTCTGCAAGAGGTAATGGCCACTTTTTATTCAATCCAATATTTTCCACCTTGTCTGTATTTTTTTATCGGAGAAAAATAAATAAATGAGAACATTTAGCTTGGATCGGGAACTTCTAAAGTTCTCAGCCATTAAAAACAACAACAACAACAAGCTGACCTTTTTATGCATGGCGATGTAATCTAGCCGGACTCCTGTCTCTCCAGTGAAAAAATTTGTGCCGTTGTAGCAATGGCTGAGGAGATTCCAGCAAATTGGAGACTTGGGAAATGGATGAAAGGAATCTCCGGGGCCTCCCAATTTTAGCTGACCACTGGCTTCCCTTAATCCTTCAGAACAAGCGTCGTAGTAGTTGAGAAATCCTGGATGTAAGGTGGAAGAGTTGTGAAAGACTCAGCATTTGAAATCAATATGCTAACTCAAGTGGTGGCGAACCTATGGCACGCATGCCAAAGGCGGCATTCAGAGCCCTCTCTGTGGGCACGTGTGCCATCGCCCCGACCCACCTCCCCCCGCAGCCCCCTCACCAGCAGCCCCCAGAGGAGAGTCGCCCCCGAGCGCAGCCCGCATGGAGCAGTGCAGCCAAGGACATGGCAGCCGAGCAGCGGGGACTTCGCCCTCACACCCGTCACGCGCAGTTGATGCTGCAGGGTGGAGGGCATGGCTGCCATGGCACTGCTGGGCCGCCTGGGTGATCTGCGGCGGGCCGTGGAGGTGGTGGGTGGCCCCACAGATGGGCAGATCGGGGATGGGCGGGGGGGCAGTATTTGGGCACTCAGTCTCTAAAAGGTTCACCATCACTGCGCTATCTTATCAATGGAACAGGAAAGTATCTCGCTCTTCAGAATGCGCTAGGCTGAAATCTAAGAAAGCAGGGCATATTTCAGAGCATTTCTGTATTAACAACAGCTGATTCAGAAATGTAACCCTTGCCTGAACTTGTGTGTCTTGTATGTGACTATGGAACTTGCGACTATGGATTCTCTTGTGAATGCCAATAAGATACACAATCTTATCACGTTTTAAAGCACACTGCTGGTTCTTATATAGGCATGGTCCTCGATATATATAAATTCAGGGATAATTTCCTTTTTGTAAAGCTATAAAGGAGCAGCAGCTGAGGGAAGGACAGCTTTACAGGTAGTCCTTGACTTACAACCACAATTGAGCTCAGAATTTATGCTGCTGAGTGAGACATTTCTTCTTTGCCCCATTTTACGACTTTTCTCGCCACAAGTTGTTAAGTGAATCACTGCAGTTGTTAAGTTAGTAGCACGGTTGTTAAGTAAACCTGGCTTCCCCACTGACTTTGCCTGTCAGAAGATTGCAAAAGATGATCATAAGATCCTGGGACACTGTAACTGTCATAAATGTGAATCAGTTCTCAAGCATCCGAATGTAAATCACGTGACCCTGGGGATGCTGCAACGGTCATAAGAGTGAAAAACGTTCATAAGTCACTTTTTTCAGTGCTGTTGTAACTTCAAATGATTACTAAATGAAATATTGTAAGTCAAGGACTAGCTGTATTGTGGTTCAGGCTTAAGCACAAGAAGTCCGCTTCACCCCACAAGTTACAGTATATGTCTGCCGAAATTATACACACACACACCTCTCAAATATTTGGAAGAATGGGCCTGAGTGCAGGACAATTATTCAGCAGCAGCGACAGAACTCCTGTGAGTTATGAGCCCATAAACACCGGAATGCATCAAATTTGTACCTATGTAATTTAGAAACAATTGCAATGCAAAGTGTTTTGCAGAAGACAAACAGATTCCTCACCGAAATTACCAGATACAATCAAGCCCCTTGTGACAATGAGATCATTATACGTAAATGCATAAGAACCTCAGATACCCTTTTGCAATGAAAGAAACTTTACAGCTCTCACTGTCACTCCAATGATCTTCCCTCATGGCTACGTTACTTCCCTTGACTTATGATCCCGAAATAGCCATGGGAGCACCCAAATTCTGATAGGGGAGAGAATAAAATAATAAGAGGGAACTCCCAACAGCCACTCATACTGCTATGTCCCTTCCTTTGGCAAGTCCATGAGGATGCTTGCACAATGGTTCTTCTTGATGTTACAGGTAGTTCTTGATGTATGACCACAATTGAGCCCAAAGTTTCTGCTGTTATAAAAGACTAAATAACATTCCTGTTTGCTAAACTAGGCACAATAACTTAGTTTTGGAAGAGTTTGGATGGCAAAATCAATATCTATTTGATATTGAGTCTGAGCTTTACAAGATCTAAAACGAGCAACATTTTCCTCGCTTGCATCTAACGTCTCCTTGGAATTCTTTCCATATTATTAACAATTTTTTAAAAAGGGATTTAAAACAGCTTACCATCTACAGTCATTGATACATTGTCAAAGTCATGGTGATCTGGTTCATTCCAGGTCTCAAAATTCCACTTTGAAACATGTTTCAATCCATATCTCTCTGGAAACCAAACTTAGAGTTAATGTAGTAAACTCATTCATTAGGCTCTGAGCAAAGTCTCAAGTGAATGACTCTTGGGCCAAATAATCCCATGCTAGCAGATTTTGCCTTTAAGAGATATACATGGATGATCAATCTGGGATACAACAGATTTACCCACAATTTATTCCACAAAGGGGGGGGGAGAGTCCCTGTGAATTTTACTCCGCTATTTGTTGCTGACTTTAGGGAGTGGTGCTCATCTCCGTTTCAAGGCCATTGAGCCAATACTTTCTGAAGACATTTCCACAGTCATGTGACCAGCATGACAGAACGATCATCACAGAACGATGTTACCTTCCCACCGAAATGGTACCTATTTATCTACTTGCATTTGCATGCTGTCAAACTGCTAGGTTGGCAAGAGCTGGGGCAAGGATGGGAGCTCATCCTGTCACATGGAGCTTGGATCTCAAACCTGGGCTGCTTGCTTTCCAGTTGACAAGCCCAGCGTCTTAACAGCTGAGCCAACGTGCCACCCATTTATTCCATAATAGGATCCCACATTTGTCTACATAGGAGAACCCAACCAGGAACCTCTGAAGTGGGTGCCATTTTCCCAAAGACATGCACATAATTTCCGTGGCCCTTCACAGATCTGTTGCTGAATTGTAATGTGTAATGTAAAAGAAAAGGAAATAACCATATTAACGGAGTTGAAGTAATATAGAGTTCAAATATCTATAGCATGATTCCCAGTATATCGCTCCAAGGCCTAGTGTGATCCTCAGCTCAAAAGCCGATATACCCAGAATTTGTTTTATCTCAGCGTTAATTTAGCCTCTAAATCCCATATCAAAAGTTGTCTGTTGTCTCTGGAATTCCCTACGAATGTTCAGCCATTTAGCCAACCAGAGCCATACCCGGTTGCATAAATTGAAAGTCACAGCATATTCAAACCAAAAGCGGTTGAACAAAAAAAATGTAGATTTTCACTAGCGTGGCTTTTTATCAATGTTTGCACCAACACTGAGTCTGGTTAACTCACCTATATATCTTTGGGCCAACTGTACAATCAGGCTCTTCCACTCTACCACTTGCTTTTTATCATCAAAGTCAGTGAAGTATCCTGAAGGACTTCCCATCAATTCAAAACCTTCATTTAATATAAAAACAAAGGCAAAATAATTCAATAAGAATCGATAGCAGTTTTGAATTTTTCTATGTAAGCCTGCTTTAGTCTTCATTTGTGAATTATGCCTAATATCCAAGGAATCAGGGGACCAATTTCATTTACAGTGCGTAAAGCAGGGAAGGATCTCTACAGCTAATAATTTAGGATAACAACAGGCAAATAAGCCTATTCAAATCTTAAAAATGCAAATCCTCTAGTGGATACATCTGAAGGAGGCACTTCAGATTTCAAACCATAATTATAACCATGTGCCCTCTTACCAATAATTTAAACACTATCAGTTTAATTATTGATGTTCAGGTGAACAAGGCAGGTCATTGAGAAATACTTTTAAGTATTCGCCCACTCTAATATAATATTTATTTTATACAGCACTTTTTTCATAGCTTTCCACACATTCTCCAGATCCTTATAAAAGTTCTATGGGATGAATACATTCTATTATGTACATTCTGTTATCCCCTTATTACAGACTTGGAATAAAAAAATAGGTTAAAGTGTATTTAGTGTTCATGGCTCAACTGAGAATTCATCAAGAACTTGCCAGACTATTTTAATCAGTACACTCTAATTTCCTCCTGATGTGCATTCTTAAAATGCCACTGAGAAACTGAGGTACATAACAATTTGAGAAAACTTTTTGCAAAGTTCTACTTGGGCGGTTAAGTGGGCATGTCTGCTCAAGCATTCATTTGGCTCAGATATAATTCTCCATCATTGGACAGCCTGGGTCTGGTCTATAAAGGTAGTCCTCAGCTTATAACCATTTGTTTAGTGACTGTTCAAAGTTACAATGGCATTGAAAAAAGTGACTTATGACTGGACCTCACATTTACAACCATTGCAGCATCCCCACAGTTATGTGATCAAAATTTGGGTGCTTGGTAACTGGCAAGCATGTACAATAGTTGTAGCATCCTGAATTCAAATGATTGCCATTTACCAGCTGGCTTCCAACAAACTAAGTCAATGAGAGAAGCTGGATTCACAGTGATTTGCTTAACAACCATGGCAAAAAGGTCATAACAAGAGGTACGATTCACTTAACAAACACCTTGCTTAGCAATGGAAATTCTACGTATAATTTGGTCATTAAACTGAGGACTGCCTACACCTATACTACTCAGATTGCAGTGGATGCTCTTATGATTGTATCAATTCCTACTTCGTTTCAAATAAACTTCACACTGAAGTTACTGGTTTTATTTTCCCACTGAAAAATGGACCTCAAAATTGCTTTAGGGAAGGCACTAATTGCAACCATTTCCTCACTACTTTTTCATATTGTTCCTTTTTTATGAATAGCACAAAAAGTCACAGCTTTGCAACAAAACACGTTCTTTGCTGGCAAGTTCAAATAACTTGTTAACCAACAATCAGTTTGTTTCATTTTGGTTTAGCCTGCTGTGTGAACAGGCTAAATCACTGAGATATTTTTTTTTTTTAGTAGCTAGCTAAAGAAGCCATCTCTTTACCCTCTTCACTTCAAGCAAAGGGGCTTTGGTAGAGGTGCTAAGACAAATTTACAAGAATAGCTGACAGTTGGAATTGACAAGATTACTCTTTAAATAAGAGCTCTGCACCTTTTTTGGCTTATGGACGTGTGGAATTATGAGAACAGAAGGGCATTCTTACAAGGGTCTGTGTGTGTGTTGCCCATTCACAAAGTGATAACAAAATCAGACTACTAAATAGTCTCTCCCTCCACAATAAATACTCAATGTTCCTGATCTATCCTTCCTCCTTCCTTCCTTCCTTCCTTCCTTCCTTCCTTCCTTCCTTCCTTCCTTCCTTTCCTCCCTTTTCAAATGAAGCTTAGCCATAAGCTAAGCGACAAATGATGAGGAAAGGCTGAAACTGATTTTTAAGTATTTCTCCAAAGTATCATTTTCTTCCTCTATTTATTGCCTTATTGAGTATTTCATTATAAACCACCTTGAGTCTCTCTGATTAGGTGGCCTAATAAGATAGCATCATCAGCCAAGAAAGCTGATGCTGATGTTGATGCTTTAGAAATAACAATGAGCCACAAATTGTTTTAAAATCGAAATTGCTTTATTATACTATAAGCTTACCATTTTATTCACAAACACATATGTGTGTGCATGTGTATGTAAAAAAAAAAATCACCCTTACCAGGGCGACTGTCTCAGGTATCAAAGAAGCTGTAAGCCAAGAAATAGACTAATCTATAGATAGGCTAATGGACTGATACGAAGTAAAACATTTTCACATGAACAGGAGTAATATTTAGCACCACTCTAGAAGCACAGAGCAGGATCCTCTAGTGTTAAAAGACACAAGAGATGACGCCAGAATATATACAGATAAGTCCTTGACTCCAGTGCTTGAGCTCAAAATTTCTGTTGCTAACTGAGACATATCTTAAGTGAGTTTTGTCCCATTTTATGACCTTTCTTGCTATAGTTGTTAAGTGAATCACTGCAGTTGTTAAGTTAGTAACACGGTTGTTAAGTGAATCTGGCTCCCCCATTGACTTTGCTTGTCAGAAGGTCTCAGAAGATGATCACATGACCCCAGGACACTGCAACTGTCATAAATATGAGTCAATTGCTACATTTCTGAATTCTGATCATGTGACCATGGGTATGCTGCAATGGTTGTTAAGTGTGAAAAATGGTCATAGGTCACTTTTTTTCAGTGCCGTTGTAACTTCAAAAGGTCACTAAATGAACTGTTGTAAGTCGAGGACTACCTGTATTATATTCAGCTAAAATGAGACTATAGCTTTTATTCATTCAGTAATCTGATCATACAATTCTACATCCATTGAAAGACTGGATGGATTCCCTATTGATCTCCCCAAAAACAGAGTGGTATAATAAAAAAGAATTGCATTTTTTTTCCTAATAACAACATATAGTTGCAGACTCTCTGTTTCTGACAACATTGGCTAAATATGAAATGCACACACATCCACTGGCATTTGATAAGGTGCCCATTAGAGTATGTGTCTATCCAGTGCAAGTGATGGATTTTTCCGGGATCAGATATAAAACAATAATTGTTCAGCTCTGTGGAGTATAAGCACTTTAATGCTAACATTATTTGCAAAGGCTGTGTGACTTCCAATTGACCTTTGTCCTTAAGGCAATGTAAAAATATCCATCAGATATGGTGGAAGTTTAACTTCTTGAATTGCAACATTTGCTTGTTAAAAGTCTTGTAGTCGTCAAGATAAGCAAATGACTGCACATAACTCCAAATACCTTCACCTAAACATTGTAAAACAGAGCTATGAATTGACTGGTTTTATATTTACCAGGACGTAGCTTATTCTCCCAAAGAAGATGCATGAAGTTATCCAGGTTTGTGAAATCGTAGTGAAGTGTCCCATTTATCACCCTGAAAAAGAAATTGCAGGCCTTTGATAGCTGCTTGAACTGAAAGCTATTTTTCCCCAAGTATAATTTCATAAACTTTTCTTCAATAAGATAAAAGACAATTAGTTTGATTTATTATTATTTTACAATAATAAATTTCAGTTAACAATAGGATAGTGTCTATGCAATTCTATATACCAGAAGAACTTTCCATATAGATACATCAGCCAGCTGAATTGACTTCAGCAGAATAAGATGAACTGGAGAATAAAAAAAATACCCCATACATTAGCCTTTTCTAATTTGCTGCATCCAAAGACATTCAATTATAACTCTAGAATTTGAAGCTAGCATGCAGAAGGCTGAGCTAGAAAGATTTCTACATGCTGACTGCAAACAAAATGAGAAGTTACATGCCTGTAACATACCTATGTACATACATGTACATATATTATTTGGGAAATTTAACTCTGATATTGTTTCTATAAAAATATCTCATTGCTGAGATTGCCTTTTATGATAAGGTATTTTTTCTTATTTAAGAAAAACAAAAGTTGTTGGAATTATATAGAGGCCAAGATTTCATGAAAGTATTCAAACTCCGATGACTGTATGTGGGAATCACTTTTGGTTATTCCATGAAGCAAATATGTTTAGTTCATATTCTATTGTAAAACACATCTTTAGAAAGTTTAGATTGGTTAAATGAATACCAGCCATGTGCTACGTATGTTAAACAGCATTAAACATTTCACATATAAACAAATATTGGAATTTGCATCAGTTGAATTCATCGCTCAAGTGACATGCAGACCACAGAGTAAATGTACTTTACTGCAGAAATGTTAAAGATACCTTCGTATGTATATTACATAGTAACGCAGGTAATATACTGTGAAAAAATTATCATTACCGTCTTTATCCCCCAAAGTAACCAATCAAATATTTAAAATCTGCATATGGATGTGGCTAAAGATATATTATGCTCTAGATATGTGAGCAGTGATGAACTGGACCCTCACTCTGTCATGACTGAACTAAACCATTGAAATCAGTAGTGTGTGTTAATCATGACTAGTTGAATCTAAGTTTGGATCAGATTAAATTATCATACAGTATATTTGAAATATACATATGGAACTGTTCACACATGAACAGTGAACACATACAGCTAGCTTATAATAGAACTCACACTGTTCTGGACAGATGACAATTCCTTTGTATACTAAAGAAACCTCCAAGTTATATGACAGTGGACGAGGATGGGGAGGAGGAAGTGGAGGAGGAGGAGGAGGAGGAAGAGGAAGAGGAAGAGGAAGAGGAAGAAGAAGAAGAGGAAGAGGAAGAGGAAGAAGACGAAGAAGAAGAAGAAGAAGAAGAAGAAGAAGAAGAAGAGGAGGAGGAGGAGGAGGAGGAGGAGGAGGAGGAGGAGGAGGAGGAGGAAAAGTAGTCAGGCCTTGAGGAGGAGACTTATCTTGTTAATTGGTTGGGCCAAACTCTCCAGGACCAAGGACAGCTCCATAAAGAAAGATAAACATTCCACCCAACCTAAAGCTGGCTGCTGGCTGAATGTCCGAGCCCCTCAAACATTATTACAGTAAGCAACAGCAAGACTTTAATGTTTCCAGTCTAATTAGAAAACTCTCATGTACTGAAAAACATAAATCCCAGATTCTGGTAGGCTGGACTTCGGTTCTTCAAACTCACTCCTCAGATTTTGCTCTATGCTTTCTATCATTCCTGCTTAGTCTTTTGGGAAATCAGAAGGTGCCTTAGATAGAATCAGAAGGAGAAACTTCAAAAGCTAGTCCCTAAGGAAATGACTTCCAACTGTTTAGCAGTGCTTAGGAATAGCGAGTCTGACATCCACCTTTGATTTCAAGCAGTGGAAGGCAGCTCCGTGTATCTTTGCTGTTCTTTCTCCTTCCCCCAACAAAATCCCTCCAACGGATTTCTCAGCACCGAAAGCCAATAATTCTGCAAATGGCCACTGCAAAATGCCTATGAATAAGCAAGGCACACATAAAGACACAAGACTGAGAGTGGACAAAAAGAGCTTTCAGCCCGATCAAAAGGATGCGGCCTGCCATTTCCAGCTTCTCAGCCAGCCTAGCTCAGTTAGCTAATTCTCCACGCTTCCCTCGGCAACGGGGAGAGAGCGAGAGGGAGGGAAGAGAAGAAGAGACATGACAATCAAGAACCTTACAGCTCCTTGCCTGATGGAGGTATGTTTCAAAATTAACCTTCAATGTTTTTACTGTAACTCAGTATTATTCATTCTGGCATTCTAGGGAGGAAAAAAACAACAGCAGAGCTGAAGTAAAGTAGAACTGTTTCAAAAGATTTTTAATCAGCAAACAGGCTTGAAATGAATACATCCACACTGTCATTTTGTTGATACATTTCTGAATTCAACCTCAGGCTCTGAAATGTGGCACCAGAGTTATCTTTTGATTATTATTTTTGCTGTTTTTACAAATGCTTTAATTACAGTTTTGTTGCATATCTGTTTCTTACTGGACTGTAAACCACTGTGAGTCAGTTCGAATATGGCACTCAACAAACCTAGTAAATTCTGCTTTAAATATGAGATATAAATAAGCATTCGCTAGCTCTGCTTTTTAAAATACTTCTTCCTAGTATGAGAATGAATGCTCAAATCTCTGGACTGAATGCTTATGCTATTCATTTATAATACAACAGGTATTAGACAGCCAACTTCCACCAGGAATGAAAGTGTTAAAATTTTCCTTTGCAATATACCCTTTGGTCTAAGAAAAGAAAGTCCCTAGAAAAAAAAATGCAGGAATTAACCTTTAATGGTTAGCCTACAGTGGAAAAACAACATTATTTTGTTCTTAGTTAGGAAGGTATTCTATTATTACATTGTTAAAGTCTGAACCAGCGACTCAATCCTATTCTTGGTTAAAAATCAAAGGCAATTGATGAAATAACGGTTTCACAATTTAAAAACTAACCATTGTCAGGTTAAATGTTATTTGGAAGCAATAGAAGACAACATTGGGAATGGTACCAAAGTTCTAAATTCCAGCAAAAAGAGGTCATACAGTACATAAGAGTAACTTTTTAAGGGATAAAGCAATATAAATTCATTAAACAACAAACTGACTCAAAAACTACAGCCAGAGGAAGTTCTGGATATTTCACCACAAAAGGTTTTTAGGGTGGTAAAAGAAAGCATTTCTATGAATAAATGCCTTATCCATCATGGAAATGGAAAAGACAAACTAGATTCCTGGATTTTCCCCCCCTCCCTCAAAAATGGCTTTCTTGTTATAAACGATTCCATTGCAGTTTCACCCAAACCATAATTTCTGACTACATTTTGCAAAACATGTTATGAGAAATTGCTTGATATGACATTAAGAGGAGTTGAAGAGTTTGTGAATGTGAAAGAGGAATTTTAATTATTTAGGATGCAAAGTGCATTGCCCTTTTTCAATGTATAAAATTATTTTTATTGATCCAAGTTTACATTTCTTGTCTCACATAGCACTATTTGTAAAGCAAACTAAGCCCATCCCATGCCTCCTTTATTTGGTGAGATTCTGCAGTAGCAGTGGAAAAATGGAAGCATCTGGGTTTTATATAGCTACAATTTACATTAACCATGGCAGAATACACTATTTGGTATAGTTTACATAAGTCACAGCCAAGACATGGCAATCCACAGATTGTATCTTGCCAAAAATGCTTCATGGGGTTGTTTTATTCCTAGCAGAATTGTTCTTGTTTTATGGTTAGGCAGCACTGGAACTCATAGAGGGTAACTTTGAGGGCTCCAGTGTTAGAGATTACCTGGCAGAAAACTCTTAAGTGCTCTTCCCTTAACAAAGGGCTGGAGAGGCACCACGAGTTTCTGTGCCCTGAAGAAGCAGTGATGGATCCTCTATATCAGTGATAGCGAACCTTTTAGAGACCGAGTGCCCAAACTGCAACCCAAAACCAACTTATGCATCACCAAGTGCCGGGTGGGTGTGGCCCATTGGGTGGGTGTGGCCCATTGGGTGGGCGTGGCTGCAGTGGTAACGGCAGACTGGGTGGGACTAAAAAGTTCAATCAATCAATACCAACTTTGCAAGATCTTTTTTTTTCCCCGCGAGAAGTTAAAATTGACTGATTGAACCTTTTTTTTTTTTGCACATGGCGACGGAGGCCTAAAGCGAAAAGGTTTTATAAAACCCAGCTGAAGGCCTAGGACTGGGGCGACGGCGCACATGCCCACAGAGAGGGATCTGTGTGCCGCCTCTGGCACCTGTGCCATAGGTTCGCCACCACTGCGCTATATACTAACTTACAGAGGATAACTGGGACTTACAGCTGATAATTGGGATAATTGATCAAGTTCTCTGGGAGGAAACACAGTATGTAGGAAGTAGGAAAAGAAGCGGGAATGTGAATATGCTGTTGGATACCAAACTCCTTACCAGCGAGCAAGTTATTATGTATGAGAGTTGAACCGTGAGAACTGTAGGTGGCTCTTGAAAGTCAAAGCGATAATGCTTTTGCTTGAGAAGAAAGACTAGGGCTGACATGACAGCAGTGTTTCAATATCTAAGGGGTTGCCATAAAGAAGGGGTCAACTTATTCTCCAAAGCACCTGAACGCAGAACAAGAAGCAATGGATGGAAACTAATCAAAGAGAGAACCAACCTAGAACTAAGGAGAATTTTCCTGACAGAATGGAATGGCTTGCCTCCAGAAGTTGTGGGTGCTCCATCACTGAAGATTTTTAAGAAGAGATTGGACAACCAGTTGTCTGAAATGATATAGGGTTTCTTGCTTCAGCAGGGGGTTGGACTAGAAGACCTCCAGGGTTCCTTCCAACTCTGTTATTTTGAGATCAGAGCAAAGGAATGTACTGTTTGCATGTGGGAAGGAAATCAAGCCTTCCTTCCATTCAATCTTCCCTTCCCTCACCTCCTTACAGTTATTTCCGGGGCAAAAGGTGAGAAATTACGCTAAAACAAAAGATAACACACTGGACAGAGGCAGAGACTG